AAAACCATTCTGTATTTTGAAAACAGTGCAGCAATAATTATTTAGTAGCTGCATCACCTTCAATTGATGATGTTTTATTATGTTTTGGCCATATTCTGTCCTTTTAATCTTAATTTTCATTTTCCTAAATCATGGGCTGTCTCCCTGTGGGCACCTGGTTTACACCTCTCCCCTAAATTCAATTGATTTCACAAAAAGTGTGGGGATATAAGGGTTTCTGGAGGGGTGTAAATGACCGTCCAAGAGAGATATGTTAAAAATATCAAAATGTATTTGTTTTAGATACTAATAAAAATAATACATTCATAAATCAAAACAAAACAAATCCCTGCAGAGGGTATGTTTGTATATTCACTGAGATAGTATATAGCTCTAAATATCCAATTTATATTTTATCCCCCCACTTTTTTTGTGAAATTAATTTTCATTTTATTTGGTATAATCAGCCTATTTTTTAATTTCTAAAAGTGTGTGACATTTGCTATTATAGAGAGGGTACTGTAAGTGACTTAGTATGTACAGTACATAAAGAGTTGTCTTATTAAAATATACTATATGCTCACTCTAATAGTTATTAGTTGCAGGTATTGGGAGTAGGTTGTGTGTTCAATCTGGATACAGGATGTGCCTGCTGCTATGAGCAACAGTGGACCGTTTGTAGAGGACTAGATGCTAATTCGTTGCTTGCAGTGGAAACGGATGTACTTGCTGTGATTATATAGTACTACACATGATATTCTGACACTATAAAGCTGACACACATGACCTAAAGTGGCAGGTACTATAGAACTGTGGACATATTCTTCATTTTAAGTTTGGAAAACTTTGGTCTTATGCTTATGACAACCAATGTACTAATGACAATCACATTTTAATCTCTACACAAGCCAGTAAATCTTCCATTTTAGGACAACACGATGGTTGTCCTAAGAATTTACTGCCTTGGGTGAATATTGTCATTGAAAACTTTCTGCTCTATTATATATATCTGTAATGTTCACTCTTCAAATCCTTTTAATTATTCTTAGGCATTGAATAGGCATACGCCATATACTTAAACATGTAAACCTATATGGCCCTTTCAGCCAATATCCAAAATATCATGGTATTTTGGGGGTACTTCTAGTTTCCAGCACTGTGGCATGACTTATAGTTCAGGAAAAGACTATTGGTATTTTGTGTTTGTATGGCTCTAACCTGATTGATTTTCTGCCAAGTACTTTGGCATATGGCAAAAACATAATGGTAAGGTGCCTGCTGCCAAAGTAACATTTTAAACTAGGAAAAAAAATGCATTAAAGTGACACTCAAATCAGGAGTTAAATCTAAAGGAAATCTCTGAATTTGTGCTGACACTGTTCTTTCTTCTGGAGAGTGGCTATTTGTGTTCCCCATGGTCTCTGTGTGTGTTGCACAGTAGCAAACGATCCAAGCTCGCCCTTGTGATAGACTACAATTTCAATACAAATTCATAAACTAAACATGAGATTGCATTAATCACTGGAGCAAACTTGGAGCGGTGGCTACTTTACAACACACACAGGGACCATGGAGAACAAATGTAGTCACCCTCCAGAAGGAAGGACAGCTTCAGCACAAATACAGAGGTTCTATAGCTGAGTGATACACGAGCTACACTTTTGTTAATAGTTAATGTACTTGCATATGTTTTTAAGATACAACTCCTGAGTTTTGTGTCACTAACATCTTCAGGATGGGTTCATGAAAATAATAAGCAAACTGCATCGGTCCATACATGCATTTTATTCCCCTTCAGCAGGAGAACTGCAGGAGCCACTGTGCCCAGTTGTACTTGCATGCAAATTGCAGTTCTGCAAGACTTCACCCCCTCCTACATCTCACATGTGTGTGTACTGAGACTTGAGAAGGGGGTTGGGGGGACTTCGTATTGGTTAAGTTAAACTGTGATTTGGGCTTCTTGGGGTGCTCAGGAAGTAATTTAAAAGTGAAAAAAATGTTCAAGAACTTTCTTCTATGCTGTTATATTGATGAGCTAATTTTAAAGACTGGTTTACTTGGTGCTGAATTCTTAAAGTGGCTATTTTTGTATTTCACAAAACCAATCCAAACTGTCATTAGTATTCATTAGTTAAGTCATTGCTTTCTTATATAACTGAATTTATTAAACTTCCACTACAGCTGTTTCCCTTCAGAACCAGTGTATATCTGATCAGAGCAAAAGTGTTACATATTTTTATAGAGTGAGCTAGAATTTTAGCACAACCATCCTCCTTCTGTGTAAAAAGGGACACACAGCCCTGCGTCAAATTCCATTTGGACTGTGGGTAAACCTGGAGCACTTGGAAAAACCCCAAACAAAATTAGTGAGAACATACAAACTTCATGTAAATAAAGGTGTAAGTAAGACCATGATCCCAGCAGTGCAAAGTAACAGTGCTATCACTGCAAGAGTTAACTGCTCGTTTTTGTCTAGAGCACCTTTGTGAAGGACTGTTACTTGCCTGATCCCCGCTCCTGCAGGCTCCAAAACTGGCGCCTGTAGCCTCCAGCCCTTTTGCTCCTGCAGTTGGAAGCCCACTGACGTAATTTTGCCAACTCAGGGCCCATAGCCCTGCGTTATGTGTTAGGATGCCAAGTGACAGCCCATAAGCCAGAGCGGAGGGATGAGACATGAGCGCCAACTATAGGGGAAGTGGGAATCAGGTAAGTAAACGTCCTTTTCCCATACTCAATACAAGAAGTTAACCCTTGCAGTACATCTGGGTTTTTTGGGTTTTTTTTTATCATGGAGACTTTGAAGTGAAAATGTTTTTAAGCAATTTCAAATGCTGATTAAATCACTTACAATTAAAACTCCTTGATGTTTAAAATGTCTAGCTTCCTGCAGAATGAGCAGGTCCCCTGAGCACTGGCCCTGGTATCCTGCCTGTTTTAGGGTAGCTCTTTTCCCTTGCAGGGTCCTATGGAGCCACTCTCGTGTGTTCTAGTAAGCTGTGTGTGTGTGTCTCCACAAACACACGGGCACAGCAAGACAATCTACTCGCCTCCCCTCTGCTCCTCCTTTCTCCAAGCTAGTAGATGGACAGCTGCTCTCCCTTGGGATCTTTTACTGGACAGGAAGTTGAGGGAAACCAAGCTGAGAGAGTTGGAACCAGCTGTTTGAACCATGGTGACTGTGGGAGCTTGAAATTATTTGCTGGCCAATGTATATTTGATCTGGATTCCTTATTGAAGACAAAGATAATAGGGTTATTCACAAAAGGGTGAGGTGTTCGGAGAAGGCAGGAGAAGTGAACAATCTAGGCCAAAATAGCTGATTTGGAAACATTCTCCAATTTATCTCACTTTCCTGTTCAGCTGTGTCAGGGGTAGCCAAACTCCGGCCCTCCCAGCTGTGGTGGAACTACAAATCCCATGATGCTTCTCTCTCCGGGAGTCATGTCTGTGGCTGTGAGAATCATGCAATGCCTCATGGGATTTGTAGTTCCACCACAGCTGGAGGGCCGGAGTTTGGCTACCCCTGAGCTATGTAGTCCTAGATTGTTCACTTCTCCTGCCTTCTCCAAACTCTTCACCTTTTTGAGAATAAACCTTTGAGAGTTTAATACTGCTTTAAGAAATGTTCTCTTTTTTTTCAAGATGCTTATGAAGATAACTAAGAGAACACCATATAGCCGTGTACTTTTTCATCCTAATATTACTTTTATCTTGTTAGTGGTTGCAATTTTGTATTCTGCAACAGCTTCAAAGTTTTAGAGAGGGTATGAAAAGCAGGCCTTTTCTGATCATGTAGCATGATTGTTACACGTGCCGTTTTTGCAAGGAGGAGGTGGAAAGATGTATTAAAATGTTTTGTTGCATGCCTACTTTGGTAATTTCTTGGGTCCTCGGTGAAAGCTGTAATCACTCAGAACTGCTTTTAAAACTCAATCTGTGAACATTAAGCAGCCTGGATTTTATAAAGCTTTCATTTCATGGTTTCAGAATAACTTTTGCACATCTTGCAGTGGCTGGCTCATATTTTAAAAGGCCTTGTCTGTATAGAATTTTTGCATTGGCAGATCACACGTATTTGAACCTAAGCAACAATGCAAATTCTTAATGTATTGCACCTCAAATCCGCTTACATGGATTTCCTTGATAAAATTGGATTAAAGGGACACTAAATTCTGGAGTTAAATCTTAAAAATACATTCAAGTACCTTAAAGGGGTTCTAAACCCTCCGTTTGTTTTGCCTTCCCTGGACAGTGTATTGTGAACTGAAGAGGCAGAGTTGGTGTGCAGTGATCTTGTTGCAATGACTCAGAGGAAGGGGGTCAGCTGCTTTATAATCCAATCCCAGTGTCAGACTGAGTTTCCTGTACAAACTACCAAAAAGGCCTACTTAAAGTTCATAAACCAAATTAAGAAAGCCATCAATGTGAGTCATGAAAATGTACAAACATATACATCTTCACTGCACTTCTACATTACCACAATAAATGCTAATCACTTACAAAGTGGATATGGGCTGTAACGTCTGTCAGATCAATGATGCTTCTAAAGAAATCAGATATAATATTTGAGCCTGTAATATTTGGACATGCTCTTTAACAAAATATCGGTGCTATATTAAAATGCATTAAAATCTTCAAAATAATAATACATCTAAAATTACACATTGCTAAAGACTGCCAGGCACCCATATATATCCTATATAACGTATTTTTCGCTCCATAAGACGCACATGACCATAAGACGCACCAAAGTTTAGAGGAAAAAAAAAACAAGAAACAATAAATTGTTCACACCAAATCCAGTGTGTTCCCACAGTGCGACCACCTGCACGGGAACGCATGGCACAGCAATGCCCACGGTGAAGTGCAATTGCAAAAAATAGTGCAAGCAATCGCAC